GCGGAAAAAGTAAGTCTTTTGCAGGAAAACTAAGTAGAGTGAGGCTGACTACGATATATAAGATGAGAAAAGTGGATAGCGGAATGATGAGAGATGAGATGAAAAGCGAGACAACGGTGAAAATCTTTTTTTTGCAGAAAATGTTTCCGCAGAATTCTGGGCAAAAATTTCCGCCGAGTTTAAGACATTTACGACGAAAAATTTCTGAAGAATTCTTCTACATCGGGAAAAGAGAAGAATTCTGCCGAGATTTTTCGTCGTAAATGTCTTAAACTGAGCGGGAATTTTTCATAAGAAAAGAACGGAGTTCTTCAGATTTTCGAAAGATTCCTGCAGAATGCGGCGGGAAAAGTGCTTCTTTTCCTGCAGAAAACTTTCACTTCCCGCGTGAAAATGTTTCATTTTTCCCGCAGGAACTTGCGGAAACACACTCATTTTTTTTCACTGGGTAGATAATTCATCGTCGAGTGAATATGCAGCAGATTTATCGCACAAAGACAATCCTTGTTCAGAGAATAGACAGAACCAAACAAATTTCACTTATGCAGAAAAATACTGCAAAAGTAAATTTTGATGTGCTGTCATTTATCATGTACAACGATTGAAGTTGTGGAATACTTTAAACGTCAGCATCACTCTTAACGGGTAGTATACAGCGGACCTCTATTTATACGAGGCGTGAGAGTGAGACACCAGACAACGTGTCATGACCATGGGCGGCGCAGATGGAAATTTGGGATAGATATCTCTTAATAATGGAGTTTCAGTTTTGGTTGTTGATTTGTTGTCGTTGGGCCTTGGATTCAGGTTTTTATGTATTGGTGTTATTGGAATATAGGTCAGTCCTACATAGTTTTTGCAGTAGAGCAGTAAAGGCTTGAGATCGGTATGATATATGTAGTACACGTACTTCGAACGCTGGAGGTGGAGATAAGATTAAAGTGAACACGGAATTTTATACGATGTTCAGTAATTAAAATATATGAATGTTTACTAATTCCAAAATAGACGGCCACCCTATATTCAGACATGTCACAATACGGATACAGAATGTATCCACTGCATATAAAGGTCTTAAAGTAAGAATACAGACAATATCTGCATTCTCGTAAATCCTACACACGGATAAAATGGACATGTACATTCACCGGTATTCACATATATATATAATTATATAATAGGAAGAAAGAGAAAAAAGGTCAATGTCTAGTTTATTGAAACTAGAAGACAAAACAAAGGAAAAGATGAAAGAGACAACTCAACAACAAATAGAAGAAACAATATATAGATATGTGTACGAACGTTGGCCTGGAGTCTAAAATAGAAACGAAAGAAAGGAAGAAACGAAAACATACGGAAAAACCCAAGGGCAATGTCATATACATCACGAATAGTGACGTCGAATACACATTATCTCTTTTTCTAAAATTGTTGTGACATCAACGGCTATATTTATTCCATCTATTTCTTCTTTCGTTCTGTCGTCATGCGTCGAAGCATAGATATTCTTCTGTTTAGATGCGTTCGTTTTTTTTCCTTATTCTTTCTCTATGGATTAGACATATTATTCCTTTTATCTTCTACTAATCTCGTCTTGTTCTTTATCTTTTAGTAACCTTTTTTCGTTTCTTATATTTTGAAATATATATATATC